CGTGACTTCGATTACCATCGTCTGCAGGCGAGGGAACGAGCGAGGTGAGGGAGGAAGGAGGAATAAGTTTCCGAAAAGCACTCCGGCGTGTCGCGATTCCTCCCTCCGCCTCCTCTTCGTCTCACAATCATCCTCTGCACGTCGCTGCTCTCTCTCTCTCTCTCTCTCTCTCTCTCTCTCTCTCTCTCTCTCGGTCGCGAGCTCCTTTCTCTCCCACATCTACGACACAACTCTCGTCTCTCTTTCTCTCTTGGAGCCGCGTATCTACGGGTCGTTGATATCGCTCGCCTCGTGTTTTCTCGGATAACGTACGTACGTGCAGCGGCGGTCGTCTGCCGCGTTAAACGCGGCACGCACCGCACCGCACCGCACGCACCGCGCCGCGTCGTCACGATAATTATTGACAGATGCGAACCAGCTAATGCGGCTTTCGTCTAGCTAACTCGCCAGTCGCGACGGCTTGTTTTACTGACGGAGACGCGCCGCACAACCGGGCGATGAAATACGCTTGGAAATTTGCACATTAATTCCCACGATAACCGACGGCATCTCGTGTTTGTAACGTTTAACCGCGCGAAATTACACTGCAGAAGTGCGCCTGGACGGCCCGAATGATCGCTACAACGTGGCTCGTGGCTCGTACTCCATGCAAACCATTTGGTGAAATTATGCTCTGTGTGTGAGGGGAATTATCTTTTACGAATCTTCCTCGTTCGTTTTCGTGAAACATGCGGTTTCACCAGAAATCTCGACACGTCGATTAAGATCCGTTAATTCGAGTGTCTCTTTGATGTCCGACGTGTCGAAGCTCAACGATTGAATGTACGAGAAGATAGGCGCGTGATATATATCTAGAGATGCAGTGTATAGATACTCGCATCTAGATCTGCTATTCGCTCCAACCGACGGCAAATCCATATCGTGAATAATTGAAGAGCCCGAAGCAATACGCGTTAAGTCCCGTGAGACCGGAGACCCCATGGGCCTCGTAACTTGCATGTCATGTACGAGCACAAGTTCGATTATCATCCCCTGCAGATGAATGTTAACAAGCCATTAAAGTATCATCGTGTGACATATATGTGTTTCCTAAAGTCAGAGTTGCATATATCTGTGATATTAACTGCCGCGATTCTGCGATTTACGAAATAGTAACGTGCCCTGTCTCCCCCCCCCCTCTCTCTCTCTCTCTTTATCTATCTCTCTCTGTCTGTCTGTCTGTCTGTCTGTCTGTCTGTCTGTCTGTACGTCTGTCTGTAATTTCTGCAGTAAATTTTCGATAAAGTTTATGACATGCAGTTTTGTCGCGACTTTCGCATCTATTTTTCATCCTCTGATGATAAAATGAAAGAGATATTTCGCGTGTGAGTGCGAATGTATGCTCCTTTAATATCGTTAATGACATTACACGAATAGCACAATTGAGTGAAAACGCGTCGAGTCACACTTTCAGCATAAATAAATCATTAAGGGGAGAACGTCGACACCTTTGCCAAGTACACGCGACCTATAACATCACGTATATCACGTAACTCCACTAACTTTCCTGGGAGAAAGAGAGAGAGAGAGAGAGAGAGATGCGTTTTCATTGTGAATTCGGAACACGAATGCAGCGAGCAATCCTTTCGTGCTACGTCAGGAACATAAATATTCGCATCTTTCATAAAGAGAGACACAATATAAATCGGACTACTTCTGAAATTACATTAACGCGGATATCGATAAGAAGCCGTGTGGTAGAGAGGAAGAGAGAGAGAGAGAGAGAGAGAGAGAGAGAGAGAGAGAGAGAGTGCACGATATCACGGAAACGATAAGTGCAAACAAAGAAAATAACGAGAGTTGATAGCAGAGTGATTAACCATACCGTTTTCTAATAACATTGCATTGGTTATCCATGTTAATATTAATCGTTAATATTAGTCAGAGATTAGCGCTCGTTGAAAGCACCTTCGCGCCACCGCATTATTTCTCCTTAATGTAATTGAAGCAAATTATTAACTAAAGCGAAACGCTGAAATGTAATTATAACGGAGTTACGTTGGCATTATTTGAGGCCTGTTTCGGATCCTCGCTGTAGCTTCAAGCTGAATATGACCAATAATTTAGGGATAATTATGACAATTTAATTCTCATTTCGAAACTTAACTGCCGCGCGCATAAAAGTCGCAATTAACATCAACTCGAATTAATATTCATATTTAGCGTTTAACACCGGAAAATCAAACTGACGATATCGAGTATGGCAGACGCTCGTAACACGATTTTTACTGCGCGCCCTCAACGTACAAACGCGATGATAAAAAAGGGGAGAAAATTAGATCGGAGAGAATAAATAGAAATAAAACTTCCAGCGTCGCGCACAACGTGACCGAAAAACAGAACTTCGAAGCTGCTTTTCGTTCTCATGAGGAGCGGATCACGATTGCAGACGTCAAGATAAGGTTACCCGCCTTCTTCACGCGTTTGTTGTTCCGCGATAAAAAGCACCCGACGAATCGTGCAACTCACGGAAACCAACAACCTCGCTCGCGGTTTTTCATTTCGCAAGCACTCGTAGCGCGAATCTAAATTCCCGACTATGCAAAAATTCGCCAGTAAATGGGGGATAAACGCGAATGATCGATGCAGCAAGTTTATTTTCATTGACACATAAATAATAATTATTCCACGTCGTATTAACGTAGAAATACTAATAACTGAAACACTTGCCAAAGGTCGCATGTTATAAATACGAATTGCATCAATTGAACGGGTATAAATATATATGGTAAATGAGCAAAAAGTATGCGAGAGCTATGCCGCCGCGTCTATACCGCAGAAGCTGGCGGCGTCTCGCGGCGAGAGAAATCAATCGACGGACACGTCAGACGATCCGTCTAATGTAACGCAGAGAAAATATTGTGAGAACTCACATATATATACCCGCCGCTAAATGCAATCGTCGTAATGCAGCCACGAAGGTAAATTCGCTTGTGAGTAAATTAAAGTTCAACGTGCGGTGCGCGCGCGCGCGCGCGCTCATTCATAGAAAACCGTCCGGCGCAATTTGCATTATAGCCATCTAATTTATCACGCGCTCCGAGTCATTACTTCGAGTCGGACGCGGAATAACGATTACTTTCTAATATGCGGAGCATCAGGAATAAAAACCAGCACGGACGTATTCTTTCGCGAATTCGCAACTTTGTAATAGCATGCACCCACAGAAACAGAGAATCTCGTTACCAGCGGTATAATTAAGGAAGCATTTAACAATTGTTATTCGTAACGCTCAGAAGTTGTCGGACGAAGCTTTGAAAGTGCGAATGTAAGTGGCGAAAATTAATCGATAAATTTGAGAGCGCGCGATTCTGTTGAAAGGTCCGTTTAATTAAAGTTTCGATTAAGGAATTAAGAAGAGAGTATGCGTATAAGCTTATTAGTCTGGAATTGCTCGAACGAGAAATTCCTTCAGAGATGCACAAAGAAGATTTAAACGTCAATCTATACGATTGACATTTCAAAATTGATAAGTCAAATTATACGTATTACGTGGTACGTTTATATAAACACGTTCACGCAAGTCGAAAACCGCGGTCCCAAGTGTCTCGCACGAAAACGCACACACTAAGCTCGCAAACTTTTCCAGGACGCAATTCAGAACGCAATCGACAGTTCAATAAGAGAAGTTGTTTCTGAAAATGTTTCGCATATAGATTAAATTCTCTTATTTGGAAACTGTTTCCAAACTGCCTTCCAGAAACAAAGTGTTCAAACCGCTTTCAAACCTGATATACACGTGTCAAAGACAGGTAGCGGTCAACTGACCGCGTCTCTGCGCTACTGTTTTTCTCACATACGCGGTACGTTTTTATAGTTCTCGATGTTTAGAAATATAATCATCCAGGAAAAATGTTGTATAATATATTCATATTTTTTGCAATTTCTTAATACACGTATATAGCGTTTTTGCATGCAAGGCACGCATGTTTTGCTCGATTATTATTACACCTGCATTCTCTGGAAGCGTTCGTTTCCGCAAAAGTAACCCGCGAATGAGTTCGCTCGCGGCGAAACGCCAGCGATAAATTCTATCTAATGCCCATAATTAAATCCACTCGCGACACGCGTAAGTTCATTCACAACAAAGTGGCGCGCACGCGAGCCCTGCCGAGTCGGTGATTGTGTTTGTGTGTAAACACGCAAAAAATATAAACACTCGCGTTTTTCACGCCAGCCGTACTTTCTAACGACATAACAGATTGGTTTGGATATGCAAAAGAGGAACAAATTTCATATGTTTGGAGTTATAAATGTCTCAAAAATTGTTTTCATGAATATCTCGACGATATCTACGTATGAAATAAACTCCTACACGAAATAGTAATCCATACACACACACACACACACACACACACACATATTATATATAACGATGCAATTTGTAAAATCATTGTAGCAGGAAATGTAATACCGAAAGCTGAGATTGATGAAAGAAGTCAACTGCTGAAGCGATTGAATACATATGAGCGTTCGTCGTATGAATGTAAACATGAATGTAGAGCAATGCATAAAAGAGCGTCACACTAAATCTAATAGCACAATAGTGTAGCGAAGTCATTCTCCACTTTGAAAATTTGCATGACAAGCGTATGCGACAATATTCTATTCGCGTAAGTCGACAATACAAATCGCCACAGTGGATTTATAGTCACCCCCGCCTAAGATGGCGTATCGTTAATTCCATTCACTGCAAGCAACGAATTTTGCGCACAGCCATGCAGTTTATTCGTTTATCGGCAAAAAATGTGATCCATTTTCCTCGGATGGACTGTTCAAACGTTCGGAAAATCTTATATCTTATTTCTCGTCAATCGACAGTAAAAAAGAAGGAGAGAGAAAGAGAGAAAGAAAAAGAAGCATGCACTTTTGTTTAGAAATCTCTACCTTCGATTTCAGCGTGAGGGGCCTCACAAGCTAAGAAAAAAGCAGGCAAATCAAATGCCAATAAAGTTGCTCACCTTTCTCGAACGCCTCCAGCGACGAATCGTCCTTCCGAGGCGTCCACTCGCACTTCCTCTCGCGCACCAGTCCAGTGCAGCGTGCAGTTACCGGTGCAGTCCGCTCCGGATAAACAAAAACACAAACTCGCGACTTGTTCGATCCCTTTCTCTCCGGAGTGATGTGTCTCTCTCGCGCGCGACGGCGGCGGCGGTATCACTCGCACCGATTCTCTTTTTTCTCGTATCTGTTGGCGAGAAAACACGCGACTGGAGCAAGCGAGACAGTCAACGGCGGCCGCAAAGGAGCGAATGAGTGAGTGAGGAGAAGGAGAAATAGATATATGTGTGTGTCTGTGTGTGTGTATATATATATATTTATATATATATATATATATATATATATAGAGAGAGAGAGAGAGAGAGAGGGAGAAACGCGTACCGAATGCGCACGGATGAAAGGCGGAGACAGAGAGAGAGAGAGAGAGAGAGAGAGAGAGAGAGAGAGAGAGAGAGAGAGAGAGAGAGAGAGAGAGAAAGAGAGAGAGAGAAGCAGGGGAAAAATGGAGACAGAGACACGATACAGCGAAGAGAGTGAGGGAGGTACACGATGAGAATGAGAAAAAAGCGAGCGATACTACGCGAGAAGCGACGTGATAAGGAGCGCCGAGTTTCCTGCACTGCGAACGAGAAACGGATTGCGAATCGCGATTCACGCACGTCTGTCCGTCAAATTGATCGATTCGCCGGCGACGACGTTTCTACGACGATGGTGATGCCGCCGTGTGTTGTTGATTGTCGTCACATAATACCCGCGTTCCGGAGTCACATCTCTGCGTGGCGCGAAAAACGGAGCACTCCGACCCGCGGAGGACGTGGCGCGCGCGCGCGCGCGCGCACGCCGCAACAGTTGCAGTCTCTCTCGAGGTAGAGAGATCGTCCTCAACCTCTCCTCTTGCTTCTCCTCTTCTTCCTCCCCCAGTATGTTCCTGCTCAGGATCCGATCGAGCAGGCACTGACCCCACGAGACGACGTCGGAGCGAAGGAAAGGATGAGAGAGAGAGAGAGAGAGAGAGAGAGAGAGAGAGAGAGAGAGAGAGAGAGAAAGAGAGAGGGAGTGAGCAAGAAAAACGAGGAGAGGGGGAAGAAGTACAAGGAGGAATGAGCGGGGAGAGCGAGGAAGAAACGGAAGAGAGAAGTCGCGAAAGAAAGAGAGTGAACAATAAATAATACCGAAAGGAAGATAGAGGGGAAAGAGGAAGAGAGAGGAGAAAGAGAGAGAGGAGGAGGAGGAGAGAGAGAGAGAGAGAGAGAGAGAGAGAGAGAGAGAGAGAGGCAGGAAGAAAGAGAAAGAAGGAAAGATAAAACGTGACGGTTAGAGGCCGAAAAAACGAGGTAACAGATCGCGACAATTGTAACAACAGAGCGACCGCGATTTACCAAAGCCCTCACTTGCGCCGCGTCAACGTTTTTTCCCGTCTCGCGAGACTCGGGAGGGGACACGCGCGGAAACGGCGAGTCGCGATCGACACCCGAGGGAAGAGAACGCGAGCAGTCTTTCTCGAGACGGGGGGAAAAAAGGAAGAACGCTCCGCCGCGCTTGTGTCGGTGCGCGCACTTGGCCTTTCGAGTTCGTGCGTCCGGAGGCGCGCAATGTCGTTCGAGATATATCGAGAGACGTGATCGACGACGGCGGCGGCGGCGGCGGCGCGCTCACGGAGGCAGACGTGACCACGTCGCGCACGCCTGTTTAGAATATACTGAATATATTTTGATCGGACCGCTCCACCGAGCTCCGCCGCAGCGCCGCTCGGCGCTCCTCGGCCGCGATCGGCCGCGTTCGGCCGAACCGGCCAATCACAACACCCGGCCAGCCGTCGGCAAGGCCCGCGCCCTCACTCTGTCGTCAGCTATGCACCGTGCAGGTCGATGCACCGCTCTGTGTGCGTTTGCTCTGCGCGGCTCGCGACGCGACTCGCCTCGCCTCGCCTCGCCTCGCCTCGCCTCGCCTCGCCTCGCCGCCACCTGTCAAAAGATCACGCGCGCGCGCGCGCGCGCGGTCTTTAACCCAACGCGCGCGTTCGGGGCTGTATGTAAATAACCGTTCCTCTCTATGGCGCATGTGTAGATTATATGCGGCGCACAGTTTACTCGAGCGTATGATCTTCATGTAAAAGGCATCTGACTCGCACGGCTGACGCTCGAGCAACTCGCGCGTTCCTCGTGTTTGAGAGAAAGTTTTATGCGCGAGGAAGCAAATTCAATTTGTACGAGCGTTTCCCGCTGCGGAAATTTACGTCGATCGTTTTCGAGAGAGTCTGCGGAAAATATTTCTCTTCGTGTTTCAATAAACTCCTCGGCGAGATGCATAAGCGTTACAGCGTCGAGTGTCTCTAGTTTTATTCCGCTCGCGCACAAACGGCTGCTGTTGGTTGCCGTTTCTCGCCCTTCCGGAGAGTATATAGCGTATTTTCCTTTCCTTTAGATTGAAGAAATTCCACAATCACGACATTCGCACGATGTATTATAGAATAGAGAGTCGTAAAAATAGTACACGATTCGTGAGATAAATGATTACCTGTGCGATATTAATCGTCGTTAGCGATCTCACCGAGAACCGTGGGACCGTAATAATTTCAACCAAACTCGGACTCATTCGAAAAACACGTTGAGATTGAAACAACAGAAGCATGTCCCGCAGCGTTGTTAGTTCGATTATCGCCCGTGCTGCGGGAAATTGCAAACTCCAGGAAATTATTTAAAGCGCAGTGGAGGTCGTTACAGTTTGAAGCGCCGAGTCGCGAATCGCTTGCGCTTATATCTCGCGATTTCGAGATCTTTTATTCGAAACGACGTTAATTTATATCGCGAGCTCGCAATATCGGTTCAAATGAAAACAATCTTTCGTCTCGACGAAGCGTCTCTGACATACGTTACGTAGCTAAAATAATTACAATTCGGTAGACTGCGTGCGTATCGGAAATACGGAAACTCTAATCTCCCTGCCATCTCGGCAGAATCTCTTGTTTCCCCGGGCTGATCTTATCAAACGTTAGCGAACGTCAACGTTACTCCGATATCGTATCGTATAAAGGCAACTCCGCGATGTCGAAGCATTGTCGGGCATGCACGTTCGCGTGTATACATTATGCAAATTGATTCCATCGATTGGCCGCCAGACTCAGCGCGCGAACTATAGACTTGTTGCACGTTTCAGCAGCTCTGTCCCGACCTCCGGAGCTTACCCGTTCTATAGCTTGCATTTACCACGCAATTCCAGAAAATAGCGTCGTATTAGGAGAACAACAAGCGTGACAACGAGTCTTCGAGGCGGCGGGTCCGAATAGCGTCACCCTTGCCGCCTTGCACTTTGCGAGCGTTTCCGCGATACGATACGATACGATTGACTCGCTCTCTGCCTCTTCCTCTCGATTCGAGTCTAGCTAGCTATAACGAGATAATATACTCGTGTCCGTATTTATACTCGCTGCGCGGTAGGCGCAGACATACGAGAGATACCATTTGTCGCGACTAAAAACAATGATGGCGAAGCTAAACATTATCCACGTAAGATGCGAGTTTTTTTTTTCTTTTCTTTTTTCTACAAAATTATACGGTGTGCCGCTAAAATGTTGTCACGATCGTTGATCACATCGCGTTGCAGACGCGACGCACACATGCCACAATTTCACTTTCCTCGCAAGTCCCATCGTCGTGGATGGGACTTACGCTACTCCGGTACGCTACTTCGCAATCGCGGCTCATAAACGTTCAGATCGGCGTTTCTCTCTGCGAGAATCGCTTCGATTCCACTCGCGACCGACTCGCGCGCAATTCGCCGCGATAAAGCCAGCGGCGTTTTGCCCCGACGATTTACAGACGATTAAGGGTCGTCGTAATTATCTTAAGAAGCCTCTTCGTAGGAGCGGTGCTGTCGCTGCCGATTACTATGTGTCGCCAACGACGGCGCCGCTTTTCTCGCTAATGCGAGAGCCATTATGCCTACGGTATGTAAGATACGCCTGTTGCGGGATATCGTGCGGATTCCGGATACACTCTTATTCGACTCGGAAAATTCGTATTAACGAGAGAACGGACGATTCATAATTGCCTGTAATCGCGGCATTCGCGGTCGCGAACGCCGCTGGTAGCTATAAAACAAAGTGTTTCAATTAATTACGCACGCATTATTGTATCTTTTCGCCTCGTTTTCGGCGTCGACAAGCGCGACTGTGTGCGAAATGACTCGACCAAAGTGAAGGGGATGTGCTCAGCCGAGTCTAGTGAATCGATTTTTTTCTCCTACCGAGACAGCTTCACTCCAAATTATTGCGCGTAACATTCTGCGCGTTCGATATGTAATCTTTTAGAGCGATTGTGTGATCCATCGCCAAATTCATGAAAAGAAACTTTTGTTTCTTACGATGACATGATATGGATACGATTGTTCACGCTTAATTTATCGAAGTATCTTTCGACCAGTTTATTCCTGTGCTTGTCAACTTGTAAAGCACAGCGAATTGTCCTTGAGAAAAATGCGAGAAAAATGCGAGAAAAAAAGACGAGGAATTCGAATCTTTAGTACGAATTTACATACAATATTCCCAATCGAGAGATTCTCCTCGAGCTTGTTGCGCACAACTTCCCTATTAAGCGAGATGCAGAAGATGGCGTATACGGACGTGACGGGAAAATGGAACAGTGTCGATGACGCAGATCTCTTTGTTGCCTTCTACGCAGCGGAACGAGAGATTCTCCAGACACATTTTTCGCAACACTTTTAATAAATCCTGTTTACTCCTGTGCAAATGCAGGAGTGCGTTTGCTGCTGCTGGGAACAGGAAGAAAAGAGGGACTAACGAGAGATTCCGAGGAGAACTCGACGTGTTTTGATGCGAGGAGCACGGCGAAGGGTAGCCATTAGAATTCGCGGTAAATGATAGGTGGAACGACATCATCGATCCTTATCGCTCGAGCTCGAGCCTCGCTATAAAGAGAGCAGCAAGTCGACCGGGTTACCTTGCCAGTTACCCAAGAATCCTGCGGGATGATAATGAGCCACCGCTATCTCAGGCCGAGCCAACCGTAATTACCTGTTGGTAATACACGGTTGTCGTCGGCGCGATTAGCGCCGTCTTCTTTCGCGAGTTGTCGCAAATTGCCGGAATTGGGTAACTGGACACGAGCTGGATCCGACGACGGTGAGTTTCTACTGACGCAAACCAGGTGACAGACGGAAAATTCAGCCCTAGCTGATGCGTAGGATACGACAAACGCTTTTCTCGTCGCGACAATTTCACCAGTGAAGATTTCTCGCTCGAGAACATTCGAACGACAAGTGTTTTTCGAATCTTTTCGATTTCGAACGATACATATCAAATATAGATCATCATAATTGGGTGTTTACGCATAATTGAATGTTGCGAAATTTTAACGACGCACAGACGACATATTTCTGTAAAAATGACATTTAATGAAATCGCCTCGATCAGCGCCTGTGATATTACATATGAATCGATAGATAAAACAAACATTTAGTAAAATAAGATTAAAAGTTCGAGACGTTGAAACGAGATATGTGTATTTTTATAATAGCCATATATCGGCTCATCGCATTCGCATTTTTACTCTGAGAACGAATTAATACAAAAGCGGGAGGATAAATGTAAAGTTTATTTTAATACTGTAAGGACCTTTTTGTTTGTATGTCTTCCAATATCGTTCGCAGTTCTTCATCCTCCAGACGCCCTTCGAGACTAGGAATAAGAGCTTTCGCCTCCTCTGGAGTTTCGGGACACAAATTAGCGAGCGAAGCGAGTTCGAATTTATGCAGTTTTTTCTGCGCTAGTAAACTGTAATCAGTGTCAAATATTGCGTGTTGTATATTTGCGAACGTTGTACTAAATTTATTTCACTTTTTATCTTACCAAATAAATAATAACCTACTTTCTAACGGCTGTGATTGTCTCTTTATTCTTCAGTTTGCCAAATCGATTCGTGTATGTCAGGCTCTTCATAAACACCTCGGAAAACTCTTGCTCCTCTTCCGCCGATTCGTTCTGAGCTTTCCTGTGTTCCAATAGCATGTAAACTTCCGATATCAACAGGGTCTCCGCATTTTCGAATTCTGAAAAAGTTTGTCATCTCAACTGAGACAATGAGACAAATATTTTGCACAGCATATAGCATTGTGAATACCTTATGTAATACGATAAGATGTATCGTCTTCTTGACGAATTGGTCAAAATTTAAAAAATTAAAAGAAAACTTTATTCAAGCAACTGTCAAGCTCTCTTTCCATATGCAGGTACGGAAGCATGTGTACCTTAGAATAGAAAACAATAAAACTACCTAGGTTGTATGTACTGATTGTAACAATATTAAGAAAAGCACTTAATAAATACTTGTGTTATATATGTATATACATATGTATGTGCACGTGCATATATACGTGTTATATATATATATATATATATACACTTATGTGTGTGCACGTGCATACATACGTGTATACACAACGTCATGATTTTGTCACACAACTTACACACGTCCAATAGAAATAATATCACAATAACGTCAGGTCATATATACATAAAAGTACTATTTCGCTGCTAAAATATCATCACGAAGCTGGTTTATTAATGTATCCCTCTTCCGTCAAGTAATCATATATCTTCCGCGTTTTGTTAACGTCGATTTTCAGCAATACACGGGCTTGCGCCAATTTGAGGGAACCATTCTTCTTGTTCTCGGCGATCAAGAGGTGTTTAAAGTCCAAGTAACAGGACGGCACTATCCTTATGGCGGAACAGAGCTCTCTCTCACTGGTAGTCAGCTTCTCGTAGCTGGGCAGGCCCTTTATCGGAAGAGGTGGCGCAATTTTACGCTGCGAAATCACACTTGAGGTCGGACTGGTGCTGTTCGTGCCGTAACCCTGCACCACGTGCTTCCAACTGTACTCTGGATTGCTCAGGTACTGCTTTTTCTCTCTCTCATTCTCCTGCCGCAGCTTACTCAGTTTCTGGAACATGCCCACGCTGTGGAAATACTTCAGTCCGTTTCTGCGGAACTCCAACAGCGTGTTGATCTGATTTTTCAACTCGCCGACGCGATGCAAGCCTTCCATAATGTAGTCAAAGTCCATTCCGTCCACTAGTTGCATGAAGGTCAGCAGCCGCTCCGCCAGCGGCCTGGTGATCGTGTTTTCGTATCGCTGTATCCAAAACATGGTTTTGCGAAAGGCGATTAGCCCGTGTTTACGTATTATCCCTAGCCTACGCATTCGCTCCCTCAGCCTGTTGTTGTAAGCCTGTACCATAGCCACTTGAAGAGCCTGTCCTAATTTGTAATCATAATCGCCGGGTTGAAACTCGTCGAAATTGAGGTCGGCTACCAACGACTCCGCGTGATTGTCGAAATTCACATCGAAATCGGAGCGCGCCGCGTTGTAACCCGCTAATAATTTAGCGTTGACCGCGTTTGGCGCGAACCTAGGCGGCTCCTCGAGGTCTTGCAGCTTGTACAAATAAGGAGTCGGATCGCTGCCGAATAAGCTAGCTCGGCTCTCCTTTATTCTAGGTAGACCCGATAACGTCTGACTGTCCACATAGTGCTGCAGATAATGTTGCTTGCACTCCTCCGCAGATTTACCGTGCATCATGCGACCCATATCTGTCCAGTTGCCGAAACCGCATTGTTGCACCACGTCCAACAGCTTCAGCTCCTGCTTGGCGTTCCATCCGCTGCCGTTGATCAGCGGGAACTCGTTCTTTATGATCAAGTAGTCGTGATCGTTCCTGTGCGCGTCGATCTCCCGGCCATTGGCGAAACAGGGCAGACATATCTCGACGTTCACGCACACGGCGCAACGCACATACGGCTCCACGAGGATCGACCTACACATGCGACATGTCGGATCTGAGATAAGGATTTCGTCCTTCAGAACTGATACCTCAAGTTCTAGGTCGCTCACGAGCTTAGCCGTTTTGCTCGCTGGGTTGCAGTCTGAAAGAGGAAAATCGTTACCTTAGCCCTCTGCTACTCTGCTACTCGGATGTGTGCAGGTGCAGCTACTCCTAAGACTGCGCGAGAAGCGGCTCTATTTGGCAGAATTCCACGGATCTCCGTGTACGTGTAAAGCTGCGTGATGCGTCGTGTTAGTTTTATTCTCGTAAATCTTATATATCAATACGTTCACAAATGCATTATCAAGCCTCGTACAACGCTTCCTCTTAGTCGAGTTGCAGCTATATATGGAAAGAGAGTCTTGGAACTTCCAATGACAAAACTCACGAACAAATTTTGTAAATTTTGCCGCGTCTTAGACACTCATAAAGTCTCATTTCTCATGTTATTCGCACACAACACTCAAGATTAAGGACTGGGATATTCGCAATATAAACAAAATCGTAAAATCAGTGTTATTTATAATGCTTATTATCTTCGTCTTACCGTACAGTATCCAACAATAGTTATACGAATAAATGAATAAGGGAGAAGCACAAGGAAACACAACTCTCCGGCAAAAAATAGCTCGTCGCTGCACCGCATATGCTATTCACTACGTTTTGTTTTCAGACACACGGGACGATGAAACGTAACTAAAACGTAACTAAATGTCTCTTCGCGTTCCGTGGGTCGGGTTTTTAGAGACTCGAAATTTCTCTGATTTGAAAGTTTCTTTGACGATTTGAAGATTTAGACGTCAAATCTTGAGTAAATATTACGAAAGTGAGGTTAGCTGCACAACTTGCCTACCGCATGCACTCGCATCGACGGATAACAATTGGACTGAAAGCAGCAATACCTTTCGGGAATTGTAAGTCCGCCGCATCTTCCTCCGTCATATCCGTGAGATTCGGATTCGCCATTTTGTACAATCGATATTTTCGTTCAAGAGAAAATTTCCATCCGGTCAATCACGCCACGATCCATTCATGTCAGCGTCCCTCGAAGTAACAGACGCCCGTGAACAGCTGGTCACGTGATGCGCATAAGGACGTGATACACGTGGTAACAGCTGGGGAACGCGTGCAGCGCCATGAATGACGAGAGAAACGTGTTGGTAGGTCGTTTCGTGGCGCCATCATACGGCAGACGAAAAGCCGTGACCGACAAAAGTGAGTTCGCGAGACCTAGTCGGTAGCGGTCGTTTCTATCGCATGTTGACTTTACACCGTATGCTTTATTTGTTATTTGTTAATTTGCCGAGTTCTTCGTTGTAACATCCTCGTACTTGATATCGATAAAAAGATCTGGAGGAAATTAGTCTAATTTAAAAATAAATTTACGAAAGTATAAATTCTTGTGTCTTGTGTATAATGGGAATATTTTGCAAGAATATCTTCGCAAATCATGTATAACGCGAAAAGTATGCTTCCGCATACTCCACACAATTGAGAGACAATTGTGTAACTATGTAGAAAATTGATACGTCAATGATAAATGAACAACGTCCGTCAAATTTCACTGAGAATTTCAGCGAGTAGCAAAACGTTGCTACTGTAAACAGACATTTGTATTGTTATTGTAATTGACAACAAATCGACAGACCATCGACGACGATCTATCCGATCGCGAACTTTTATTCTAGTCACTGTACCAGTCACATAGACCCTGCGCTAGGTGCATCCTGACACAACAATGAAACAGGTGCCGCTTGAAGATGCGGGATAATTAAGGTCAAGCGTGAAGCGATAGCATCAGAATACCTAATCGAGAGAATCCACGTTGAAGCCATTAGAATGCACATTGTCGCCTTTCAATGAACGGAAACAATAGACGTGGGACCGTGAGAAAAGATAGCCACGCCGGTGGAAAGAAATTATACGGGCGCTGCGCGTTATTATCTCTTCTCTGACTTTCCCCTAAAGAGACTCGCTCCGCCTATAAATATCATTACGCCGCGAAAGCAAAACAGCGTCGTGTCAAAGGTGTGAGAAGAAAATCCTGCCGTATATACCAAGAGCGCGCATTAGTATTGTCGTCAGCGGAGAAAATGATACGCGTGAATAAGTAATTAATATATGTATAAAAATCTGTCTACATTATTCTCTTGAATTTACACACGAGTTATCGATTATGTCCTACTAACTTGTGGCGGGATCCCGTGGCGGAAACTTTATCAGGTGAAAGCAGCCTTAATTAGACACGACGTATAAATTCTATGCGAATCACAAATATTTATTCCACGATTCCACGAAGCTGTATCGGAGCTGTATCGTTCATTATTATCTCTGTATGCATCGAAATGGCGCTCAAATGAGCTCCTTCGCTAGGAGCCCGTATATGCATGACAATGGCGTTTCTATGCGCACATATTAGCCAACCTGTTCCCCGTGAAAGTGTCGTGTAAAACACATGTCGAATACGCTAATTAACCGCTTTCCATGTCGGAGATAAAAAAGCGAACGTGGCTATTATATTCGTTCCAACGAATAATAAGTTCGATAATAAGTAGGACGATTTATCCTCTGATAGGCTTGGTGGCTTGAAGACAGAATTAATCCTCACGACCAAGAATCAATTTGCTATCTGCAAATTGCCCGTCCACGTCCCTGGAGCGTTATTCACCAGATTCACCAGATCCTGTTTTGCCCAAGTTTTGCTCGATTAAACGTTGCGACACTTTTGCTCGATAAATTTCCCAACGCATCATCCCACATCCATCAGGAGTGGGAATTGTTTTCTTCTCGAGTAATTCTCGAGAAATATATATTTTCTCGCTGGATATGCGGAATGCGTTGGAGAACTCATCGAGCCAAAATATCGCAGCCTTTAATCAGCCGACTGCATTCTCAGCGCTACAACCAAGTTCGCCGCGCGCTGCCACGTTTAATTGACGCGACGCGAAATTTGCGCTGAACTTTTCCTGAAGAAAAATCCACCGAAGCGCTCATGCATATTGAAACAGCAGCGAGAGGAAGCGATTTAGAGCTTTCGCTCCTGCATACTACACCTCACACACACGGCGCCCGTTTCCCGAATCGCGCCACGTTCACGCGCGATGCGCGATGCGCGTACTGGAAACAATAGAAACTCGCGCGAGGCACGATCATACGCGATGGAAGTTTGTTACGTGTTGTTCTCGCGCGAGGGTGTGCATTAATAGGCGAAGAGCTCGCCACACCCGGTCGCGGCAGCGACGATCGACGAGCGTCGCGCATGAGAAGTCAATTTCCGCGCTTCCGACGAGCGCTTATTCACCCGCTGAAAAAATTATGGAGATAACACGAGACGCGGAGCCGGACTTTGCGAACGCGAGGACGCTGCATTTCCGCGAGCTGATCGACAGCAAGAAGCGGCAGGAAGAGGACGAGATCGTCATTGCCCGCTCGCTGCGCGATGACGGGATCTTCGACACCGTTTACAGGGATACCACCGTGAAGGGGTAAGATGTCGGGTCGGGTCGGGGTCAGGGACTTGTCAAACAAATCCGGCAAGAAGAGCCCGCGGAAAGCGGTTCGCGACACTCGTTCGCGGAATTTGTCCACTGGCGTTAACCGTTAACCTCTCCTCGGTCGAGTCGGTGCGTTTACCGAGGTTAAATGAAGCGTGGCAAACGCTTGATCGCGTAATGAGGTGGTAACAGGCGTTTGCAAAATTTACGTGTCGCGACACACTGTTGACAATTTTATCAATAAAACTCGTTTCTTAGGCCGCGACATAGATCGCGGAAAACCCCTCGATTATCGTCGTCGTCGTCGTCGATGAACATGTTAAACGGGTTAAGTCCACGGTGAATGAGTATACGCGAAGATTGCAAATAAGAGTGACGTTTCATTATCCTTCAGTCGTTCAGTCCGACGTCCTTCACCAAGGGGATTCGCCAAATTTACGTCCCGCATGATTGATATGACAAAGCGTTACGTCTCGGCGAGTAATTAACATTATATCGTAAATTACGTCACGCGTGCACGCAGCGCTGGCGCACCGCTGTTCGCCGATGACAGGAAAAAATTTCGATGGTGGCTCATTGTCGGTGGGATTTTAACGATTTCTCGCGTACTTCCGTAAGAGAGATCGACGACTGTCGAGGTCGCTCGAGGTTTGATCTAACCGGCCGACTGTGCGTGCAAGATTAATACCTCGACGCAACACACAAACCATCTCGTAACGTCTTCCGGCGAGACATGGTCTATTAAGTGAACATGGTCTACACCTACAAACGGAATCGCGTGAACGAACTATCCAGTAAACGCCGTAAACAGTAATAAATTGCCCATTACATTCTGCACTTCTTATCGACGGATTAAACGTACCGGTATGTTTAATTGACACTTTTTAATTGTCAAGGCGCACCGCCAAGTTTACGGCTTTTTTAAAGCGGCACGTAAAGATACGACGACGTGGTCGTTTAATACCCAGCAATAAATTCCGTCGAGCGCCTCTTAAGAAGGGGAAAAAAACCATGGAAAAAAGAAAACAAATCAGCCGGCCTGAAGCCGAAAGATTTCATGGAAGGACCGGCGATGGGTCATTCGACACATGATGAGCCCGAACGACGGCATCACACGCTCGTCTCCGATGCCGATCGAGCGTAAAAGAACGGCGTCTTTCTTCCTCTGTCCCTCTCTCTCCCTCCCCCCCCCTCTCTCTCTCTCTCTCTCTCTCTCTCTCTCTCTCGATGGGGTTATCGGGCCTTTTACGGTTCAGTTGTGACTCCAATTTATCTCGTTAACATCGCCGCGGGCGATATATCCTACATAACGGTGCACGCACTCTAACGCCGAGCGGGCCCGACTCTTCCTCTCGCTGGCGATTCTCAGCCGAAGCTGCATATCGAACCGCCGTATCGCCGGTTAGGGTTGTCGACCGAAGGCTCTCGTGAATCCATGGGCTTCCTTGGAGCGCGTGAAAAATTCGAGACGAAAGGAAGCCCTCCTCTTCGTTAAATTGCCGTCTCACTCTTTTGGACGTCCGTCGTTCAATTAATTCACTTCATTAACTTGACTGAAGTAACATTGTAACCTGGATATGCGAACTGTGTCCTGCGCGAATGTGGGCGCGCGTGTGTGTATGTGTGTTACATCTCCGTTACATTTCACCGACACGTGTCGACTTATGAGCGACTTGAGCCGGCGAGTTGCAATTCTTCACCGCGGCGGTGTAGAATTCTGAGAAGTTCCTCGCGGGGAACCGCTCGATCACCGAGCCCAGAAAAATCTTCATCTAAATTCAGACAAGCAGGTACCACTTAAGATCGATGGATCGATTTGCTCGCGAACGAAGAACGATCCCCGCTTAATTCGCGATCGCGCCGAAGAAGGTTCGATCGTAACATTGCGCTCGTCCTGCTCCACGCGACTTGCACACACCGACGCAATTTAAAATTCTTTCCTGCAACCTCCCTCAGCGCGAATCGACCGAATATCCATGTTTCTGGATTTAACGAGACGAAACTAATCAACGACGCAGACGACGTCGCAAAAAGTCAGATTTGAAAGCAAGATTGAATTTTGCAGCGTGGAATCACTCATCGCCGAAATTCTTTTATTCTTCCGCTCCTTTTTTCCCTCTGCAAAAGATCAAATATAACGATATATGCAAAAACGGGCCTGAGGTCCCATCTCTGCAGATAAGAGCAACACCGATAAATATTCATGAAGTGACGATGACTTTTGTTCGGTCGAGTCCGGTCATCTTTCACAGACGTCACGACGACGATTGTACGGCGCCCCAGTGCAAATTACGATTTACGTAAGCCAACACGATCGATAATAGCGAGGTCGACTTCGCGAAAATGCGACCTTGCCGCGGATGACAGATAAGAGGAGTCGGCTGGTCAAGGCCGCGGTAATGATTTCGAACATCGAGACATTTTATTATCGAGAATCAACAACAGTCGGAGAATCAACTATTCGGACGAGCACCGGCGATCTCTCGTATCGGGGACTCGAAAGTTCTCTCACAATCGACTTTGCGCGCGTTCGATTCTATGCCCGTTGTTTATCTGTCACTTGGAAAGTTTCACCGTCGAGAGATTCACCGCTCAATGGAGCAGAATTCCCCGATGGATCA